CCTAACAACTTCGGAGCCGCGGATAGCACGTTCGTGACATTTACGAATAGGGGCATTCGGCTCAGATCCAAACTGGAATTTGCATTTCTCAGCTGTCTTTCCACTAACCTACAGCTCGATCTTCGAACACGCTTAGTATTCCATGTTATTTGCAGTTATAGCTGTCAATCTTATAAGTTGATTTCATAAATTTGACTTTGAAAATAATTTTAGTTGCATTTTTATGAGCTTTGATCTGTAGGAAGAAATTATTACAATCATTATTGGAACCTTATTAAGAAATACAACTCGTCCAAGAAATTAAAACTCGCATTCTGCGAATAACTACATCTGCATTTTTAAATGTATTAATTTACAATTCACGGTGGATTCATAAGACTTAGGCAATTATTACATTTTTTTTCAGATTGATGAGTATTTAAATGATTACCTTTTCTTTACTTTTTATTCCTTTTTGATTTGATTTTACCAACCCATTAAGAATTTCCTCAAAATAAAACTTCATCTTACGCATGAAGAGTTCAAAAAATATAAAAAGCTGTTTTTTCCTTCTTTCTTCATACTATTTTTTAAGAGTTTATGCAATGTACATACTATCGTTTGAGTACATGAGAAATAAAACTAACAAATATAACTGCTCCTGAAAACTAATACTTTCTATCATCTTAAAATCAAATGTGGGGTCTGAAGTATAAAACTATCACTTTTTCTAAGACGGTTAAATATATTATCCGCTTACGTTTGACCATTATCTAGCCAAAGGCATGATATGGCTTTATATGATTTATTCTCTTCCATAAACATCCAATTATAACTTTATTAGTGTACTTTAGATGTCATCGTGTTTTGCTATCAACGGTTAATTTCAAAACTTGTTCTAGAATTCAATCGGCTATTCAGATTTGAAATTGAATTTTTACTTAAAACTCACACCAGCTGACGATTACAAAATTAAACATTAACCCGCCAAATACTTTTTTTTTGAAGAATGGATAGACAGTGAACACAAAGAGTGGTGTTATCGTTCAAAATTTTCCAACACGTCGAAACAATTGAGCCACAAGGTTTATCAAAACACGTTTTCGCAGTAATGTTTCTTGACCATAGCGAGTTTCATGAAGAAGCTTGTACATAGATTATCAAATATAAATTAAAATTTGAAAAGTAATACCGTAGATGGTTCCATTCAATTCCTATAAGACTTATAGTAATAGAAATACAGTGGTAGTTTATTTTTAATAATACCGAAGTAAAAACATAAATCACATACAGTAAATTAGGCATGGTACAATAAATTTCATAAAAAACTAAAAGAGAAAGAAAGATATTTATAGGTACGTTATGAATATGTACAATGAAAGACTTGGTAAATATTTTTGTTTGCTTCTTGTCCTCTTCAAACTCTCACGATGGGCCCTCATCAAAGCAAACACTGTTGAGGGTCACAAAGCGATGCACGAGGATTCATTGTAATCGGGTATTTGAACATTCATTATGTATGAACGTTACTGATGCAACAGCATTACATCTTTTCATAAGGTCCTTCGCTTAGAATCTCACATCTCTAAAACAGTGCTTATTTTATTGTGAAGCTGTCTTCACGGCGATTACATTATAATTTATAATTTTGGTGAATGAGTGACAAAATAAAAGTTTCTAGTCTTAAAATTTGTGTTTAAAAAAAAAACCCTGCTGATTGCTTCAATTATTTTAATTAAAACGTCAATATTAGGATAATGAGCATTTTATTTGTCACTTATAAATACGGATCAATTCCTAAAATATTAGTGATTTGAGAGATCTGGGTAAAAAACACAGTTTATAACTGATTTACCGGGGATAAAAAATTGAAAAAATCAGTATTTTTTCAAACTATTTTTTTTAATAAGTAAAATGTGTGTTTAGACAATTGAGTTTATTAAAATACATTCCAAATGAAAGAAAAACAACCAAAAAAAGCTTTTCAACAATTAATTGTCGTCATTTTTGATGAAAACAAGGATACTTTTACTTGACATAATAAAAAATATAATTTTTTGTTACAAAACTTTAGCTGTACTTCTTTTTTTTTCATAATAAATCTCAACTTAATTAATACGAACATAAAACTTATTATTAAACGCAGAAGTTTCTATTAAAGTGGCGTAACTTCCGTTTAGTTGGATGATGATAAAAAAAAAAAGAAAAATGGTGAATAATTTATAATTTTTCTAGAAACAGAATTTAGCTTGGTTTAGCCTCTAAAAAGTCATCTGTAAATGGTTTTAACAACGATAAAATCTTTATTCATTTAAAGTAAATTTCATCTTGTTTACAACGAAGCAATTATTAATTACTTAAAATAAATATTGTCTTTAGTAATTGTTTTCGATTCAATAAAAAACATGACTCACTTAAAAAACCACAATACTTGGATTTGTTACTTTTTTGCTTAAAATTGGCAGTATGAACTTTTTTGTAGCTCTTCAAGATCTGCTATCACTCCTTTAAAATGTTTTCTCTACTTACGAGACACCCCCTATATACTTAAATAAACTTGATCGGCTATATAGGCTTGATTGATAAAATACATCGGCTTATCCAGCGGTTTTAAAACGCTGAGATGATTTTTATTGAATCGTTTCGTACTTCATTCAATTTTTAAAATATATTCCTTCAAGGAGCATTGGACAGTTTCAACAGGACATTAAAAAAAAATTGCCAGTTTGAGCTGGTTAGGGTAAATGAACCATGAGATATCTCCAGATTTACCGTGAAATCGGAGACACCTGCTTTCTTGTGCCCAGATTTTTTTCCCTCCATGATACTTGTATGAAAAATTAACTCCGGTGGAGTGCCTAGAATATGGTGGGCGACAGAAATCAATTTTGCGTCCAGCGGAGAGCGAAAGCTCTTGAAGTTGTACTATTCTATACGAACAAATCGTTTTATAATATTTTATAATTTAATATATTATTTACCCAAATATATTTTTCAAAAGAAACAAAAATTTTCTATTCATAAGAAACTTCTGAAACCGTTGATGAATATGGAAGATGGGTTTGATTGACTTGATATTAAAATACATGAAATTTTCTATTCGTCATATATATGATGATTCCCTCTCGACTATTTAACTTATATGTACGTCAAATAACTTACATTTTTAATTATTTAGGAACAAATTTTCGAAATTAATAATAAATGTGTATGCTTTTTTTTCTTCAGATATCTGAAAGAAAAAACATACACCTTTATTATTAATTTCGAAAATTTGTTCGTAAATAATTGTATATTCTTTTAAAATACACTGCAGATTTGGATCGAAGAATTATTATATTATTGTTACTAAGTTAAATTAAATCGTTAGATGTCAGAAGTGCTGTTCGTTATTGAATTTTAGACTTAAATATATAAATACATTAATAAGATATTGCGAGAACGAATAGACGAAGTTGAAAATAGCGGTTAATGTAAGATGGTAATGATAACACTATTAATATTTACATCAGTGAAAAATTAATGAAGTTTTGTACAGCTATAATTTAAGATTTGACGATACAATTAATAGAACATATAAAACAATTAAATTCAACAATGGCACATGGTACAACGATAGATTTGAAAACACAATAGGAAGAAAAATACGGAACACTATACCGTCAATTTATTGTAAAAAGTCATTAAGTAGCATTTCACAATCTTTAATCATTTTTAATAACCTCTAATTAATATAATTTAATAACTTTGACGAGTTTTCTCTCTGTGGAAATAGAAAATTGTGCGCTATTTGTAGCTATATATTGTATTATGTAAGATAGCGTTTAGGTTATTTTAGATTACTAAGTTATTTTTTAATTGATAAATATGATCAATATTCTCATCAAAGTTCATAAAAGCACAGATCCGTCAAAGATATACTTACTTTAGAAATGTTAATTCTGGGAGAGCTCATTGTGGAACATTTTTGGGTTTAGTTAACTTTGGAAGTGAGCATCATTGCGAAAAACTCCTTAACAAAATAGTTTCTGCCTTATATAAGCTTTTAACACAATGCAGTAATGTTTACTTGCAACAATAAGCAATTTTTTTTTCGTTCTTGGATATTGAATTTTTATTAGTATAATTTACTAATCAGAAATTTAAGTTAATTTTATTAAGTGCTTATAAAACAAATTTAAAATATAATGTATTAAATTTATTCCACTTAGATGATAATTAAATATTTAAGTTTTTATAACAGAATTTTTATAACATCCTTAATATTCGCCTAAAACCTCCAGAATGGCTTAATTAATTAACTACAACTTTTGTATTTACGAAAATTCTGGGAATTATTCTGTTACCAATCTATAGATAGGTAAAATTAGTAAATTTAACGAGATAATAAAAATTCATTAATATCCATTCGTTTTGTACTTGGATAAAAAGATGATTTCAACATAACCGAGAAAAAAGGTAGCATATGAAAAAAATTGACTGTTTGGTTGCGACCTCCACTTCTACTTGTCAAAAATAAAGAACTTAAATAGGCCAAACGGTTAAATACTTTTTTAGACCTTTTTTCGATTATGAGATTAGAATATCTTGCGATTCACATGAACAGCAAATGGTTATTTTTGAGTTGTCGATGGTTTATTAAATTGACGAAGTATACCGATCTCCGGCTTGAAATTACCCATTTCACAGTTTTTTGGTTGGTTGCGAAGAAATAAAGGCATTCAGGCGAGTGTTAACAATTTTATAAAAATGCTTCTGTACCGCGGGATAAAATAACCAATAACAAATAAAAGCTAGTGTATTATATTATGTTGAAAATTAAAACCAATAGGTATATTTTATTTATATCGTAGAATAGTAATTAACTACAATTTATTTCTTGTAAAAATTAAAATTAGGCTTAAATTGGAATTTTCGTTTATTCAATCCACCTATGTTTTATGTAAGATGCGTTCTTTATAATTGTAACGATAGCCTACACGTCTTTAATTTTAATTGGAACTGGTCTCTTGTTTGTGCATAAACGAAAATAATTAAATAAGATCTTAAAAATATTTGGGGAGATTACAATGCATCATATGTCCAAGAAAGTTGAGGAAGGTAAGACAAAATCCTGAATAAATATGGCAATTCATTAGTCCAACCATCTCTAACCATGAGTCAACATTGTGTAACCTGAAGGAGTTGGTTAGTATGTCACTTCTATTGACCCACTGCTTGATGAACTTTCCCCAAGCTGAGGACTTCAATCTGACAATCCTGACACAACCAACTTACGTCTGCCACGCTAGTCGACGCCGGACGGCTCAGCAAGGACCTGCAGGAAGCGGTAGCCAGTCGTCCGAGGATAGGCTTATGTCAGTGCGCTGTCCGAAGTGGAGCAACCCCTGTCCACTTTACATAATAGTTGTTGTCTCCTCGGCAACTTTCTAGCCGCAGTTAAAGTCTTTTGTGCGCTTACCTTCTCGGTTGTTCCCATGACTTATTGCCAATGGACCAACCAATCATGAGGTTTTAGCAGAACCTTATGGCATCCAGAGCTTGTAGAAGTACATTATAGCAGGCATTAGTAAATAATATTCTGTTTGCAACATTTCCTCAAAAGTCGTTTTTGTCAATACAGAAAGATTGCATACAATGAATTATTAATTATAGTTTATGATAATGAATGAATCCGGAAGAATTCAACTAGTTCATCGAGTTAATGACAGTTTCGAAATTCATAAAAGGCTACCACATACAATTTTCTGATGGAGTAAAATTCACTATAAAACTCATTTTTCTTTGCTCCATCCTCAACATTATCACGTTAGCAACAAGCTGTACCAAAAGCCAATAAATTCCAGCTTCAAGCAAAAAAAAAGTAATCTCAATTCACTCTATTTAGTAAACAACACAAAAAAACAAATATTTAGCTATTTATGAATTTTGAAAAACATAAATGAATACACCCCAGTACTTTAAAAAAAATACAGAAAACAAAAATATCACCGTTTACCCAAAGCAAAAAAAAAAAATCCTTAAAATGATGTGCCACTACAGAAAAATGAGTGAATGGAATCGACGGATACTATACTACGTCTCATAAAACAATAATAAAAAAACAAATACAACTTTTTTGGTCTATGCAAAAGTACAAAAAATAAAATTTTAGGCGAAACTTATTGAAAATATCACTAAACTAAAACTTATCACTAAAATATCGGTGAACGAGTGGCAAGCCAGTGCCTTTAAACAAGCCAAGCCTTCAGAACATAAAACAAAAAATCACATGTATCCAAACAACATCACCTGTTTACACAATACGTATCACATCTGCAATAAAAAAAGACTCATCAATTTGGGCATATCCCAGGCGGACGTCCGCGTCTTGTAAGGAATTAAATAAAATATTACAAAGTCAATTAGTTTTAGAATATTAATACAGTAAGTGAATTAGGGACATATTCAATGAATAGAAATTGAAACATTACTTGATGTAAAACTGCTTCAGAAATAAGATTAATATTTTTTGGAGGGCGATGGCGTTGACCTCTGGGCGCCAAATGTCTAAGGTCGACATTGACAACTTCTCAACTGCTCTAGTTGGACCATTTTTTAAACATTTTACATACATATAAAATATACAATAAATAAAAATAATATAAACTTAAAGATAGGTAAAGTAAAATAACACCTTAAACGTAGACAAACCGATATAATAAACCATTTACAAAAGGGATGAGGCCTACGAAACCAGATTTGTCCCTCCACAAGTGGCGTCCATATAAAGCGGACTCCAGAATACTCTATCTTAACCAAAGCTGGCTCTAAAAGCTAAGAAATATTTAAAATAAATTAAAAAAAAAACAGCGTTTCACTCGTGAACGATACATTGAATTCAGTAAATAAATACATACTGGAAGTTCATCTATGATCTCATCAAATAAATTTCCTTATAGTTATTTATAATATTATAGCTATCCTGATTACTATTCTCAATATCATACATTAATAAATTATAATGAATAATAATTAAATTATCTATATTCTGATTCAAATCTAATAACGTTCGTCAAATACATCTCGCTATGCTTATGTTTTCTTAGTAAACTACACTTACATATATATATAATAATAATATGATACTCAAAGTCGAGGTTGATATATCAAACCTAGAGAAGAGACTAAAAACAGCTGGAAAAGAGATCTGCGCAGTGACCTTATCTAACTGAATCAAGTCCGGAAAGAGGCGCCTTTGTTCTTGCATATGATGTGGAATTGTATTGTTTTTAATAGTCTTATGCGTTGCAAATTTAACTCTTTTCAATGTAGAATAAATAGCATCTGTATTGCATTGTATTTAATCTTTTTTTAATGGGTTTCGATTTGTGTTTATCCTTTGTTTTGAATGTTATTCAATATAAAAATTTTACCGAGAACCATCGGATCCATAGAGACCTAGTTACTATAGATAAAGCTGCTCTAATTGCAGAGGCACACCGCTCATTAACAGCATTCTTAGCCGATCAGCCAACGACAAAAGACCTGAGCATGAATTAAGGACATCTCACCAAGGATGCCCTACTTTCTTTTTCTCAAAGCAGGATCTCAAGGAAACTTATTTTTGCAAATGTATGTATTATCATACCTGACATTTGCTCTATTCATATTTAAAGCTACACACTCAATATATCGTAAAGAAAAAAAAAATCATTGTCAAATATTTAAGAAAAATAAAAAGGTAAAGTTTTAAATTTCGTTTCTCAACAAGCAGAGGCAAACCAGGTTCTATCAAGGACCAACGGTTTGTAAAGGGCATGCGCCTTCCTGTGTAGAAAGCCTCATCGTTAATTCTGGGCATATTAACTTATGGGATGGTTACGTCAGAGCAACCTCTACGTATTGGCCAGTTGGTATTTACATATGGATTTAATACTTGTGTAACATAACATTCTTTTTATGAGCACAGATATGTATTTCTTCAAATGAACATGCCTTTTTTATTTTTTCATACATATCTATATTATTTTTTTTTCCTAATTTTTTTTTTTGCTGAGGTTATTCTAGTAGTTTGTTGTAACTTCTTAATTTTAGAATCTAATGTTCTCACAAAAATCAGTATGTTAACTGGTGACAGTGTATTATTTGGAATTATACAAAACAATGTTGACTCGAGTAGTTGAAAACAAGTGTTTACATTTTTTATAATTTTTTTTAACCTAAATTCTTCACCCACACCTGTCAAAACTACAAACAACCAGATAATATGCTGCCGAGTATAATAATAGTAGCAGCATTGGTCGACGTGAGTGTGAGGAGTGCCCGGTGGCATTCCATCCTATCTTGATTTTAGTACGCATTTTTAAGATAGGAGATCCCTCATCGAGTTTCTTTTGAACTTTCTAAGCTTGTTAAGGTATATTTGTTGTAGCCATATTCTGTATGAGTGTGTAAGTTATCGTGAAATCTTTAGTTATTGTTCCGAACGTTTTTGACTGAAAAGTTTGTAGGTTTTGTAGTTACGTCCGTTTGGTTATCCCATATGTCTGTGAAGCGTAAGACCATGTCGGTTTAATCAGTTAAATGCAAGTGTTCAATTTCTGATTTAGTTATTATTTGGAACATCTTGAAAGAAGTAAGTATAATAGATTTTAGCGTTTTTCTTTTTTAGTTGATGAGTAGACCCCATATCATTCTTCTTTCAAATGTCAGTCCAAAATATTGCATTTTATCTCTTTGAGAAATATGAACATTGTCGAGGTAAATAGGAGAACAACTTTCATATGAGTGAAAGTAATAAATAAGAGTAAATAATAATAAGTAATATAATAGGATATAATAAAGAAAAAAAATTCTGATTACATTTTTTTTTTTGGGGGGAAATTTGATTCTGACTCAACGCATCTCCTTGATATGATCCAAAATAATAATTATTGTTTTATATCTTAATTTAAATTCGAGATCACAGCTACATATTTAAAAAAACATATTAAAATCTAAATAATTTGAGAGTGAAAAAAAATATATAATAATGGTAATATATTTTTTTTTAACTATAGAGTCGTAGAGTATTTTTGTTATACGTAATACGGTATACTTAAAGAAATTTCCTTACTAGATGAATTCAAATTATTCAACCTAATTTTATGAAGGTTGATCTTAATATATAATTAATCTTAATAATTTCAACAATTATTTAGAAGGTCTAAATAATATCCTTCCTGCCGGAGGATATCCTGTGTTATGTTATCTTGGCTATATCCGCCCAATTACTGTCCAAAAGAAATGATAAACGCATCCTTGTATATAAATATTAGATACTAGAAATCCTTATCTACTCAACTATTATATCTATCAATCAACCCATCACTCTTCTGAAGTCTTGGATAAGAATTATTCCCTACTTAACCAGTTACCAAGTGTTGTGGAAAAGTTCAGTAGATATTGAAGGCAGTGGTTTTCTACTTCGATGAATATAAGTTCAGCGTGAAGTTGAATAATTATGGATTCATAATTCTTTTCGCTAGAATATGAACGAAAAGAAAAAAAAAAGACAATAAAAATGCATTAGTTACAGGTGTTCCATCTTATTTTTATTTATTTAATTATACATTTCAAAAAACTGGCAAACTGCTGAATTACAGGTAGTAAACAACTAAAACTAGGACATATATCTACTTCATCTGAAAAATAAAAAAAGAAACATAATAAAAAATAAAAATTTATTGTAAAACAATACATTAATTATGGAAAAAATGATTATTGGCCATAGCTCTGATATCTCTTAGTTTAAGATATTCATGAAATAAAAATAATAATAATGTACTTACTAAAAACATTTTATCAAATTATTAACATACAAAGGAAACTCATTAAATTATAATTTATTGGAATTCTATGATTATATTTTATAATATAATTTCATTTAACAAAAGCCCTCATGTATTAAATCTCACCTATAATTCATTTATTCTTATTTTAGTTGTTAATCTTTTCAAATTTTTATTTAATTTTTTTATTATTAACTAGTGTAACATGCAGATTTGATGTTTGTTTTATTATATATATAAACTCTAAGAAACATTTATTATTATTTAGATGTATTACATAAAATTTAATTATTATTAAAATGTATTATATAATACAGTATTTAATTTTTATATGAAAGAGGGTACATATATTTTTATTCTATTCAATATTTATCTTAATTGGAAGAAATATTCTATTGTAGCTGAGTCTTTGTATGATCTTTTCTTAAAAGAGATAGTTTCCATTTTCATTTAGATATTTTTTAATTATTTTATTCACTCCATTATATATATTTTACTCAATCATTTATTATTATTTTTTCATATTAGTATCGTCTAATATTTAGGATGAATTTCAATTATTTTGTTTGTATTATATATAATTTTAAAATTAATTACTTCATAAATTATCGGCTATCTATT